CAGTCATTAGTTCTTTTTATGCCTTTTTTCTGCCTAATCAAGAACCTTTTAGTACCTGCTATTGTTTCCCCTGAATGTGCTGCTATATCGTAATCAAGTAGCTTCTTAATCTTCTCTTTGATAAACGAAAAAGATCAACCTCTTTAATTCTCTCATTTCAGACATTCTCTGCATCCCTAGAATTGCTCTTACCGATCTGGTCTGTGTCTCCTACAGTGTTGTTACTAATCTCCCTAAAATGTTGGTGTGGGACCATTGAGGGCTCTGGAAGGAGTCCCTCGGTGCTGAGCCACCTCCTTGCTCCAATCCCCAGCTCGAGGCTTCCCGCACGGAGCGAGTGTAGGTTTGCCAGCCAGCAGAAACTCGTCTTCGTTGATATTTATCGTTTTACCAAAATCTGCTGCATGTGAGTGGTGTTAGCCATAGTGAGATACTTAAGCAGTGGTGAATCCTTGTTGTCTCCCAGATCAGCCAGGTAATTATCCTGAAATCCATTTAGCATATTCACTATTCATATTTTATAGTGCGCTTTTTTTTTTGTCAGCATGTCATGCATTATGAGGTCAAACCACCTTTTGGACATTGAGGATGTTGTTTCTGTGCATTACTAATATCAAATGTGTGGAGAATAAAATCAGGTTTGCTTGCTGTGACCTATTTTTCCTAAAACCACGTTGACTGGCATACATGCCTGCCTTTCGGTCCTCTGCTGCGTGAATCCAGCGCTGTCTTTCTGTCTTGGACGGACGTCTGGCTAGCTGTCCCCTTCAGGCCATGCCTCCACCGCCTTGGATATTCGAGCAGAAGAGACTTCCAGCATTCTACAATTTCCTCTTAAAAATGAACATCAGCATGCAGCAGTTTTCTTAGCTCTCTTGGATCTCTTGGATGCAAAATTATTCAGATCTGCCAAATTTAAATATCTTCTGGTGCTGGTAGATGTTGTTGAATGTTCTTCTCGATTGCTAATAAGTTGGAAATGCTTCGTCCTTGTAATGAGTGTTATTCTGCTTCTTCCCAAATGTTTGATGACAGTAATTACAGCACGTCCGCCGTATCTGTCTCATTAACAGCGTTACCATCTCTGCCCCGTGATGGACCCCTGTCCTTTCCAGGATGGCCTTTGTCCCTAATGCCCTCCATCAATCCTTCCTATGTCTCCATGGGAGACTTCTTCCTGAAGCTCCTTGGCTTTCATATGGTTTAAGCGCTTCACAGCTTCTCTTTCTGGTCAGTTGACATTGGTGTGCTGAGCTCCAATAGCTGTTGATTTATATTTCTAATTGTGCCCTTTGCTTTACAGCAGCCACCTTCACCTTTAGCTGGCCTCATTCGCTCTTCACTGATTTGGTTTCAGAGCTATTATCTATGTCCCTCTTTTCTGTGTATTTTTCAGTATTTCCCCCAGTCTGATTTCCTGGGGTGAAGGAGGTTAGCGTGCTCTGAGCAGCCGGTCTCCGGCTATTCAAGAGAGTGGAGCTTTACCTCCCCTTATTTTAGGGTATAATGGTGACTTCAGCGTTCCTACAAGGCGAGCTAGAACTGGAGTTTTCGATAATTTGGGGGTTTTCTCTTCTCACCAATAGGCGTTTTGTTTTGCTAGTTACCCAGACTGTTAGCAGCGATGGAAAAGCAATAGGATAAATTATTCTTTTCCCATCCTTGCCCCTATTTCTGTGCTGTTTTCTGAGCATCTTCCCACTGCACGATGAGTCCACAGGCGAGAAGAGAAACATCTAGAGGATGTCAATGCAAGCTGACCGAATAGCCCACCCTTTCATGTATTTCTGCATCTTACTTGCCCAGTTCTCCACCAAATCAAAATTTCCAGGGGTTGGATTAGTAAAGATTTATGCCCAGGCTTTTCCATCCTCCTTTCCCTTTCTTGGGGGAAGGATCTTCAGCAAGATGAATTGGCCCTTCCTCTTTACTATCTTCCCTCCAGGATCCTTCAAGTCGTCTTTGATCTGTGTAATCCACACGTGTCATTGGTTGCATCAGTGGAGGCCAGTCGGGCAATTTGCGATAATCCCAACTAAATTTACATTTCAAATGCTCGCTCTGGGAGCGTGCTGCCCCACTGCATTCCCTGCAGCTTTCTCCTGCTCCTCAGGATGGACGTTCCTCAGCAGTTGTTCACCAAGTCACTGAGAGCAATTTCATGGTTCCTATCCCATCTGAAAGCCCCTGGCTTTTTTTGCTGTCTCAGTTACATAAGCCAGGTTTATTGTGGAAAGCTTCAATGATCACATTGTTACCCAGCCCCTGAGCTCAGGAAGCTCCTGGTGGGCTTGTCCATGTGCCATATGCAGCTTGCACAGCCACGGGACCCGGGAATGGTATGTCCTGGTCCCTGGGAGCAGTTTTCCCGCATGAGCCTTGGCCAAAGCAGGCACCATGCGTGGCGTGGGGAGGGTGAACCGGCAAAGCCAGAACTGTGAGCAATTTGGTATTCACCAGCAGCGCCTGCTTCTTGTTAAAGCTGGCAGAGAGTGGAGGGCAATCAATTGAATTCCCTCAATATTGTGTTTGATTGTTTGGAAGTTAATGCGGGAAGGGTGGCAAAGTGCTTCTCCTATTGCAGAAAATAAACTAAATCTTGTGCCAGGCTACAGTAAATACAGACTATACAAAACCAGGAGCGTGGAACATGTCCTTTGCCGTGTACCTTGCAGGCATGGTCCCTTAAAACCCAGATGCAAACAGCCCCAACAGCGGGTCCGGGAAGATATTCTCTTCCCCCCAATTTCCACCTCACTGGAGGGTCTTAAGGTGTGGGTAAGGAGATTATGTGGTTTGCATTTCTTGGATACAGGGAATTTTGCAGGGTGGGAGAACCTGAATAGAACGGATTGGTTCTCCTTTAATTGGAGCTGATGGGGATGGCGCACAAAGCTGACAGGATTTTGGGGGATGCTCTCCTGAAATAGAACAGCAGGAAGAACTTCCAGGGGATGCAAAAGCAAAAATAACATGGGGGAATTCTGTATGTCAGAAGGGAGACAGCAAGACTATAAGAAATCATAAAAACTGAAGCAATATTTTCAGGAACTAAATATAAAGTGTCTGGTTTGGAATGGCTTGGAGAAACGACAACATAAGGCAGAATTGCTGGGGAAAAATTGAGGCTGCTTTTCTCTCGGCTCTGAGTGAGTGATGGGTTGGGATAGTGGCGTGGGAGCTCAGCAAGCACAGGGAAGGCTGCGGAGAGCAGAGAGCTGACATGTAACCAGGCTTGTGAAGGGATGGGAAGAGCTTTGCTGGAGACTAAGAGGCACTGCAGATCCGGCCGGGTGCTGGGCAGAGAGTGGAAGGGGCACAGCGAGCAGGTGGAGGCTTCTTCATGCACCCTCCTTTAATTTTAATCCGTCTTTCCTAGTTGATCTCTATTTCCTCTGTTTTTAAAAAGTTCATTATCTGAAGGCTGGGCTTTGAGAGCCCTCCTTGGGCAGGGGACCCGTATGGAGGGGTTCAGGGCATGTCTGCCTCCCCTCTCGGGGACTCGCTGTCCCATCCCAGGACCTGCCGAAACACCCAACCACATCTCTGCAGGCAGCTCCTGTGAGCAGAAAAAAGTTAAAACGAGCCTGTGGTTGGAGTGCAGGAGGAAAAACACCCCATGGCTGGGTTACAAATCAGTTGTGCAGCACCCATGCTTCCAAAAGGCCACGCGGACCTGGAGATGTGGGGCTGGGTGAGGCAATGGGGCGGTTGATGTCTCTGCAGCAGGGATTAAGCCGAGCCTTAGACATGATGCATAACACCGGGATGAGGAGGCGGCTCCTGAAACGGAAGGCAGGGAAATCGGCGCCTCGTGCGGTGCATGCTGGCCCATGGGACATGCAGCCCCGGGAGGGCGTAGTGGCTGGGAGCCATCAGGTGCTGCAGCCCATGCCAGGCTCTGGGTCCACTTGTTCTGGATGCTGCTCCAGTTTTTGGGAATGTTCTCATCCTTTTTGCTGCCTTAGTTGCTTGTCTCAGAGAAATCTTCTGCAGGCAGACCCAGTTGACCTGCTGACTGTGCTATATATTAATATTTGCATAGCCGCTGAGCATCCTGGGGATTCCTTGTATGGGAAGGCTTACAGCTTTTATACAGCCTTTTTAATTAACTTAATTCAGACATTAGCGTGTCACAGGGAACGTCTCTCGAGGGGGAAAGTCTTTCATTTATCACCACTTAGCCAGGGAGCATTGTATTTTTCATTTGCATCCAAAAGTTCGTTGTGGTGAGAGTGAAAATTAACTGTTCACTCCCCTGTCGGCGCTTTGCCTGCCCAGCAGGCGTGGGTGCATCGCGCAAGGAGAACCCACTCCCTTACAGGCTGCAGCGCCAAATTTTGGGGTTGGAATAGCACAGTCACCGTGCCAATTCCAGAAAAGCCACCTCTGCTGGCCCTGGGGAAGCATTGGGCATGTCACGGCGGCTTTTCCCCCGGGAGGTACCTGGCAGCAGCGTGCTGGCACTGGGGACGTTGCAGTTGTACGGGTGCATCCTGGCAGCATCCCTCCATAGAGCTGTGCTGCACCTCCTGCCAGCCCTCTGCTCCTGTCTGAGGGGCCCTGGATGTTCTCCGTGCTAGCTCTGGGTGCCAAGTGGGAGGAAAAAAAGTGGGCTTTTAGGGATGTGGTGGGGCTGGGAGCCCTCAGAAAGGCACCTCTCCCCCAGGAGAGGCACAAAATGCAGGCAGAGAGCCTTGTGGCTAGCAGGAGCTTCACAGCAGAAGCCTTGGAAGCAAACCGATGGCAATTAATGCTTGCTTTCACACCATCGCGTTGTGCCATGGGTACCTGTGATGGATGGGGTCTGGTCGCTGTGACCGCAAGATACTTTCGTGAAGAATGTGGTACCAAAATAGGTTTTTGGGGGGGGGGCTGATGCCTTGTTCCTATAGCTATGTAGGGTTTGTTTAGGGGAAGCTAAGGTTGTGCTGGAGCCATCTGTGGGCGGCTGCTGCTTGCCCACCACTCACTGCCCGTGTCATCTCCTTCTCTCACAGGTGAAGGAATGGTTGTGCTTGAACTGCCAGATGCAGCGGGCGCTGGGGATGGACATGACCACTGCTCCTCGCTCCAAAAGCCAGCAACAGCTGCACTCCCCTTCACCATCTCCCTCCCACTCCCCAGCCAAGCACCTGCCAGCCCTGGGTGTGGATAAGTCCCCACCAGCTGCCCACGCCCTGCCGCCCGAGCCGCCCAAACCTCACCCCACGACACCGCAGAGGGAACCGCATGGCCAGGGCCAGCCAAAACCTCAGGAGGCAGCCAGGTCCTCCCCGCAGCATCAGCAAGCCAAACCTTCCTCCTCTGAGCAGAGAAAGATGACGGGAGATGCAGGGGCAAAGCCAGCTGCCCCAGCCCCTGGGGCTGGAGCGCAAGAGCAGCCCCAAGAGGGGCTCACAGGGAAACTCTTTGGCTTCGGGGCATCCCTCCTGACCCAGGCGAGTACGCTCATGTCTGTCCAGCCAGAGGCTCCCCCTCCAAGCCAGCCATCTCCTGGCAAAGTGCCTCCAAAAATTGTATTCAGCGATGCCAGCAAAGAAGCTGGTCCCAAAGCCCCGGGGGCGCAGGGACGGGCTGGTG